AAAGAGTTCGTCAGAAATGAACCCCATGCGATGAGAAAAAGTCACCATATTATTTCTATGTAGAAAATCATCCGTGTATGGAGATCCACCCACAAATCCCTATTCCAAGAATTAATTAATTTGATTTAATTAACTTAATCAATTAATTCTATGAATTATAACAATGTTAATCTTACCATTAATTTGATATGTGGCTCCATCCTCATTTCGTTATCTGTGAGTTGAAACTTAATTACATTAAATACATACCAACCAAAAAAACTGTATGACCCATTAGGCTTATATATACATATATAAGTGTCATTGTCTGTAGATATGGTCTATGCACACACATATATATATATATGTATGTGAATAAAATTAGAAATCTATAAATATTGAAAAAAAATTTAAAAAATAAAAATAAAACTTACCATTTAAAATATAGGTGGCAACCATTGGACCAAACATACCGCCATACGAATCACCAACAATATAAAATAAATTGGAATTAAATTCAGAGTGTTCTTGAAACCACTGCATTAGTTTAAATGTAAACAAATATTAATATTATTTGTATAAAAAATTGTGAATTAAAATAAGTTTGAAAATGTAGTAATTAAAACTAAAATTTTGTAACATAAATAATTAAATTATAAATGATAAAATAATATATTAATTTTATTTTACCTTTCTTATAAATATGTGAATTTGACTTGCAGCTTTGGAATCTGAGATGGTCAGCTCCTCCGACTTTGAATAGGAGAAACCGGTACCGACAGGTGCATCTGTGAATATAATACTTGCATTCTGCAAATAATTATTATATATTAATTATATTATAATTAATTTTTTTAGAAAAATATTAATATTTTAATTGTTTTTCAATCAAATATTATAATTTAATATTTTTTAGATAAATATTAAATTTTTATAAGTAAATGTAAATAAAATTGATATTATATTATACCTTTGTCCATGAGTGAGGGTATAAAGACAAACTTGGTACACCGTCGTTGATACCGGTGTTAAAAAACACTGGACCTACATGCAACAAAATTTTATGATTTATATCAAATTACTAATATTTTTACTATTATTATTATTATTATTAATTATAAGAAATAAAATATATATTTATTGAGTAAGACACAAGTAAAAATTTAGAATTCGAACTCCATATTAAGAAAGTAAAAATATTAACCATGTAATTAAAGATTGACTTACAAAAAAAAAAAATTAATTTAGATCAATAATTACTTATTTTCGAAAGAGTTCTTCTAAATTTATCACTTATGTAAAAGTTGTTCTACGTAATTATTTATTTAATTAAATTTGAAGTTAGTGAATAATTATTTTTAATTTAGATACATTGAATCCAATCAATTTAATTTTGACCTATAATTATTTTTGTTTTTTTATAAAATAGTAATTTTATAATAGATCAGATCTGACTTGACAAAAAGTATAACTATATTCATTGTTAATATTAAAAAAAATTATGTTTTTATTTATATAGTAAAATGATTTGATTGAATCTGATGAAAAAATTTACAAATATGATACAATCGAGAAAATAAAAAAAAATAATAATTAGAACTACTTCATGTTTAGAGTGAATTTATGTTTAAATTCGTATCAACGGAATTCAGATAAATATATATAAAAAAAAAAAAAAAAAAAAAACCTCACCCCTAAATCTACACCTTGTCATTCTTACTTTGAAAAGGAGGGAAATTTATACAACCCAAAATAAATAGAGTA